AAAAAAAAAAAATGAACAACGTACGATTCTACGTTTATAATTTTTATCATTATGAATGAAAAATCGGCGGGATTTAGAAATATACGCGTAACTCGTCGGCGGGTTAGTTTAACACGGTTCGATTAAATCTGTTGACAAAGCGAAAAGTGCAGCAAAAAAAAATATCCGGTACAGTTATTCGCACAGTCCGGTCATGCTCTTCCGACTGTAACCAGTTGCACCTCGATGCGTCACACCGCGGCAGACACGCGACGAGAGATGCGACACAAACGTGTGTCGTCGTCCAACAGCAATTTATTCAAACTCCTAAACGAACCTTGATATCGAGATTCGCCGGAACAAACCACTGGTAACCACTTCCTTTCCGCCTGTTAAACGCTCCACTCTGATTTACATGGTAAAAATCGGTAATCGGTATACAATTTTGCTGTTGCGCAATAATAAAAGATCGAAATATACATATATGACAATATTATCCCTATCGTTTGTCTGAATAGTGCACTCGTATGTATATATACGCAAACTGATGTGACACACGGTCGCGAGGGTACGAGATTCAAGATGATCGTGTTAAAGAGCGCGCGACCTTGTCAAGCGAGTCAATTGGATGAATGAAACGCCTGGTGGTCAAGTTCTTGAACCGGGGTGCAGCGAGAAACTGGCGATCGCCGTTGACTATATCCAACCACGTACCAATGAATCACGCAGTTGGCTAAACCCATGTAATCCGGATCGTTACGTTATCGATATCGAGAACTGTACCCGGATGATAATGAGAGGCACAATAGAGTCGAGAAACGAACGAGTTGTGTGAGAAGAGGAGGGGGGAGGCCGCTTCCGCGAGTACCACTTCGTTTCTAGACCAAAAAAGACTTTGCTGTTGAGATCGCATTTTACGCGCTCTCGTTCACGGTGCACGGCTTTGTTGGTGGCCGTTTATTAATTCGGCCGCGATTAAATCTGATTTTTCAGCATCAATTACTTGAGGGGAATCAAGCGGTCCGTCCTACTTTCTTTATGGATAAAGATGAACGATCAGCTGATCAAAGCGATCTTCCCGACGAAAGATTGTGATGGTTTTATGATATATACGTATATTCGAGGAAAAAAAATATTTCGATTCAGCGTAGGAGGAAGATATAACGAGGTATTCGAAGCGTGGTTAAGCATCAGGGAAATTGGTTTTCTCAGCGGTATAACCTCGAGCTGGCTGGCAATAAAAGATGTTGCGTAAGCGCATCTCGACAACTTGTTTCCTCTAACGTTACTTGATTCATTTTACATATTTATTCACTTGGAAGTTTGACCTTCGATTAAATTTTGCGCGAATAGGCTCGAATTTAAGATAGAAAAATTCTTTCAACTTTTAACAATTACGTGTCAATATATATTAATTGACAAAAAAGAAAATTATATAAGTGTTTTTTTTTCCTTTGCTAAAGTCCTAATTATTTCAGCTTTCGAGGCTAATAATTATGTACTGATTAATCCAACAAGATCGAGTCTTTTTTTTATCTTTCTTAATTAGCATTCCATTTCAAACAAAGATTCATTTTTGCGATTAATATTGCAATCTCTCATAATTATTCTTTAATCACGTTTCTCAATCGTCTTTGGATAACCTTCTTTTCCGAGACTGTGCTCACTTGTTTCGCCTGCCATCTGTCGTCTCAATACATTTGTCAACGTTCCAATGTTTCTAATGTCAACAAACGCCTCGTCTAGAACGAAAGGAAAATAAAAATGGCATTATATCTTTTTCTTTTTCCTCTCCAGGGAGTTCCGTTCGCAACAAGTGATTGTTAACACGTTCGCGGTCATGTAGGTCAGGATAATTGTTGCACAGAAGTTCACGAACCGTATGTAGGTCGACGATTGTGTGCGAATCGTACCGATCTATTTATCGTTGATTCTTTACAGATTCCGCCCATCTATAAAAAATAACTCGAAAGTTTTCGTAATAATTGTGAGAAGGATCGGAATAATTACGTCAACGCGTCTTTATTTTCTTCGATTCGTATCCATTTCGAGGACGTTTTTTTTCCCCCCCTCCTTACATCGCATCCACGTAGAGAAACACGATCGTTTCTCTCTATAACCAGACTAAAGAAAAGCGACAACTGGATTGTTTGCATTACCAGATTGCATAATAACGAACTGTCTCGACTGACTTGGCGATCAAGTAGAACGGGTTTCAAATCATAGACTCTCTCTACTAAGGGATTCGCCGATCGATATTGAATCAAATGGCTGAGGTCGTTCTACAAGAATTTGTTAAAAAAAATTCGCACACAGTTTAAAACATCAACAAAACGATATTATTTTTTATAGGTAAAAAAATTGTAAAAAAATTTTATCATTTATAATCCGTAAATGTTGCAGGATTTCAATATAAAATGAAAGCTTCAATTTTATCATTGCTCTTATTACATTTATTTAAAAATTGCCTTATTTTCTTGTTTGTAATACAATACAGTTTAATTATATTTTATATATAACTCATTTCGTAACAACATGTATTTATATTTTGTAGTAGTCAACGTGCTGTACAGGCTAGGCTATTGCTATATTCAAAGCTACATTGAATATAGACCATGTACCAAAGATGACTAGACTCGATGTAGACGAGCGACTTTTATCGTTGCGAATATATGTCTCTGTTCGAAAAAAATACAAATGCAAGCATTTTAGTTTTATCGCTACAACCTCACCATTATAAATTCTTCAAAGCCATCACTGAATTCTATATACCATTGAATTATTTCATCGTAAAAGAAATTCTCACAATTTATCTTTGTATAATCAACGAAAGTATCTAAATATCTAATCAACAAATATCTAAGTATCACTTAACCGAATAAAATCATGGGAGAATTCCGGCTACAAAACTAAGAAAACTAGGTAAATCAGGTTCACGTTCGTTCGAGTCTTGAGAAAATTTCAAGATAATTGTTCGTTTCGAATTATACTTCTTCTGATGTATGCATTCGTAATCCAAACTTGCTTGTTTTTTCGAATCTTTTCGACTCACTGTTCCATATATATTTATTTTCACTTTCGTGCCACTTGTTTCGCTTCTCCTAACAACACTGGTAAAATTCGTTTTGGTTCACTAACAGACTCGTTTCTTCTACAAAGTCGTTCGAAAAGCTTTCACTTGTTGAACGAAACACATTTTTTTCATGTTCTTACTTTTTCTTTTCTTCTATGATTTATATTTTCTAATCGTAACGTACGAACAAAAGATGGCGATAAATGAAGATTCGGTTAAAAGTCTTCGTTGAGATTCTTCGGATAGGTGCACGTGTATAACTCGATAAACTGTAATTCCGAATTAGAACAGTGAACGCATTCTCGAATTGATCCAATTTTCCGAAGTTCGTAATAAGATTTGCACATAACGGGGATAATACAAATTCGATCGCCGGAAACCGGTCTAGCGAGGATTAAAATTTACATTTTGCCTGTGTGTTATTGTTAAATGAAGAATTTCAGGTGAGAAATAAATATAATGATCGTTCTTCTGAAAGTTTAATAGCGGAATAGTCGCGCCTCCTATCGAAATATCCAAGTAACAAAAGTCATGGCTACCGCTCGTTTTTCCTCTGCAATGTACTACACATGTGTCAGGTATTCTTGTGCCACTCTTTTCACGGAATTTTATTCTCAATCGACTGCCCAATCGAATTTATCGACGTGACTTTTATCTAATCTGATGGATGTCATCAGACTTTCGACCAATCTAATCTTTCATAAATCGAGTTCGGATATTTCGCAGTTTTCGATGTCATTCTTTTCACGATTAAGTAACTAAAAATCATTAGTGTTAATGTACTAATAAAATTCTGAAGAAATGGTCAACTATGGTAACAAACTTTGTCCTCGTGATCAATGCGCAATTAAAAGTAAATTTAACTTTGTTCTCTGAAACAACAGTAGAGAACAGTACAGTAATAATTGGTTGCTACAATAACGAATCGTCTGACCGTTACTAACGAAGCGCCACCATGTTAATTGTTTCTTCTGTGCTTTGCACATTTCGTTTGCGTTTCATCGTTCGATTTCGTTTTTGTCAAAAACTAAATGTCGAGAACATTGATCGAATTACGTTCAGAAAAAAAATAATGTTTAAATAAAAAACAAATAAAAAATTATAAATTAAAAACTTAAAACTTATTGCAAACAATAGAGAAAGAAAGTTATTATGCATTATCATATATATATTATGATTATTGATATTTATATTAATAACATTTTTATTGTAAGCAATTAGAGAATCTTTGAAAGTCAATTCATGCAAGATGAATACCTGGAAGGATTTACTAAAGAAAATACATATAAAAACGTTGATAATTTACGTGACCGCGATACACGCGGTTTCGGTCGTCACTTGATAATAACTTTTAATATATGCATATGTTTCTAAAAGCGAAAGCTTCTAATGCAACTGGCAGTCACGCTTGCGTTCGTGCAAAACCCGTAAGAAAGGAAAAACTCGCTTTCCTCGCTATTTATTGAAATATTTTATTAAAATCGATTAATCCTTTTTATAATTTAACTATTATTAACAATTTTAATCAAGATTGAAATAGAAGAAAAAAAACATTTGATTGAGCATTTTTAAATAAAATAATATTTTATTTATTATATTACTATCATTTTTTTTAATTTTTTGTTCTATTTTAAATTCAGGTTCAATATATATTTTAAATTAGGTTCAAAATAAAATACAAATAAAATATAATTAAAGTTTAATCACGTAATTAATTCTTTTAATTTGCATTATAATATAATATATGTAACGTATTTTTCAAAAATATGCTCGATAACAGAAAATACGTGACATTGAATTAAAAGCATTTCCGAATCGTAATATACATGTGCATATGTATATAATATTCTGTATCGAAAATAATTTGTGTTATTAATTTCTAATAACGTTCGAGATAATTTTCTTCGATCTATTTTTCGAAATATATTGCAATTTGTCGGAATATTCGATTACATACCAAAGAAATATAGTGAGATTATCTAAGATAATCAAGATTGACCAATATGATCCTGAATTCATAAATTCTCTTTTTTCTATAGAAGAAAAACTAGTAACTTTTTGATTTTAAAAATTGGTATTAAACCGTTGCATTTAAAACATGAAAATTTATCAAAAGACAGAATTATCATGTCAATTTTCTTTTTTCATATCCATTTAATTTTCTTCATGCGATCGTTTTTTTTTTTAAATTGCAGATTATCTTTCAACTAGTATTATTGTATATTATTCGATATGTTATAATTCGTAAATAACATAATGTGAATATCCTTTAATCCAAGAAGAAAGTGGGATAGAAAGGAAGTAAATGAAGAAAACTGAATACAAGACGATTAAGGAGATACAAAAGAGAAAGGAAAAGTGGAAGAATTCATTTGATTTGATAATTTAAAACTTAAAATGGAAAGGAAAATTTTTCGCGGAATCGCGAAACAGAATCTAAACAAGCCGAAGCACGTGACAGGGCAACGTGATGGCACGATAGGTAAGTACTAATAGAATTACCGTGATTAAGTAATTATCTTTCGAGCAACCGACATTTCAAGACGATAAGGAGGGAAAGCAGAGGAATACGTATGCTATAGGGGTTTTGCGATACACTTCTATACGCTATTGTTTATTGTCCATGTTGGAAAGATAAACCTTTCACTTGCATTCTCATCTTGAACGAAGAGGATTCTCTGATCACGAGTAGAGAAGACAATGCCCTCTGCGCTATAATCGGTGAATTTCCACAGATTGATGATGTGACGTAAAAGAATGAATTTTTTTTATTTAAATAATTGATAATGTCAATTTTCAAAAAATTATGTACATACATATTTAAATAATATTATAAAAATATTTTAATTATATAATTATAATATATATACTTATGGCAAGAGAATGAAAATAATGTTCAACATTTTTCAACTTACATAAACTTTTCTTTGGATAAAACAGGTTATGAAAACGAAATCACAAGAAAATAGCTGTGCTTCTGTAATATGTATACACAAGTGTCGAATTATTACGAACATAACATGGACTAGTGAAAAGTGAATGTTGGAAGAAACGAACATGCTAGTCATGAAGAGAGAGAAAGAAAAAAATAGAAACAAGAACTAAGAGAGATAGAGAAAGAAGAGAGAGGAAAATTACGATTCGTTCTATTAGTTTATATTGTATCGAACAATAGAGGAAATACAGGAATATCCTGTCCTGAAAATTCATGTCCCGAACGGAAGTTTGAGGGAAACCACGAATGAGATACGACGTCGACCAAGCTGTGTAAATTGCTCACGCGACACACGCGATAATTCGAACAGAGAATCATCAGAATAGCAATTAATCGGCTTAACAATCATTCGTTAGCGGTAATCTTGCATAGATATATGTATATTAGCGTTAGTAAAAAATTGTTACAAACATTCACATAAAACAAAATAGAATCTAATGTGCGATGTAGAATGAAAAAATACGTAGTTAAATGTTCATTACGAATGTAGAAAAAAATGTAGAAAATAAACAATATCTCATTGTAATTTTTTTTTGAAAATCTTTTCAAAAATTTTGAATAATGGATGAAAATTTTATCTACTGTAATGATCTATAGTATATATTTTAAAGAAAAAAGAAAAAAAAGGGAAAGTTTGTTACATTATAGAACAAAATCCAATGCTTTCACTCGATATCGTGCAATAGATTGCGTGAATATAGAATTAGATTCAATATAAAAGATTCAACGAAATTTTCTAAAATATTTAAAATAATTTTATTTTAATTTTAAGTTAAAATAAAATTTGATTAGTAAGTCAATTTCTACAAATTTGAGACTTTTCATACTGTGTTTATCTTCCGTGTGAACTTTCGAGGTAAAGAATGCAAAAGAAAGAATAAAGTGCATTGGTATCGTTCTGATCTGTCTGGAATGTGTACTATTCCTGGATATTCTTGAGGGACTCGTTGCTCACGATTGCTAAAAACTTCGTTCCTATTTACATTTTATTTCAGTATTAAATATTTTTATCATATTTATGCAAATATGTATAAGACTATGCCATATATCTTTCAATCATTAAAAATTCTTTTTAATTATTATTTGTACATTTTTAATAAACAAAAAAAAATATATAAGAAATGAATATATAATGCAATGAATAAAAAAAAC